TTAATTGAATAACTGCCGACAGATGTCCCTAAAAATCCAAAATTTCTTATGTATTATTACATAAATAATACTGTCACGGTGTCACTATATGTGTTTACTTGTATTTGAAAGTGAGGTCATAGTTTTAAAATTATATTTAGTTTTATATCAGGATTGGACTTTTCCTTGTTCAAACTTCCAACACTTTGAATCCTTCTTATTTTATAAGCAAATCGAAAGCGACTGCTGATTATAAAATCCTGGAATAAAGCAATTTGCTACTAATAAATTTTTGGAATAAATTAATTTGCAACAGCCCTTACATTAGAAACAACATGAACTAGGACATAAGGTTTTTTAAAAAAAAAAGTCTATTGATATAAGAAAAGTATAATGATTATGCGTTTAATGGAAATACTTTTCAAATGAATTTTAGATACGAACGTCATTATTTGATAGTATGACGCATAATTTGATGTCTACAAGTTACAATTTAATTTTTATAAGTCATTAGAATATATAGATTCCATAAAAATAATTTTACAAATCAAATTCCCGTGTTCATACTAAACACAATTGCCCTAGACTATAATCATTGGAGAATATATGTAATAATATACTTGCAAATGGGTGGGTTTAGTGGAATGGATTTGTAGACAAACCATACTTAAATATGTAATTAAATTATCACTGCTACATCACTTAGCTAGGTAGGTTTAAATGGGATAAATTTTTAGACTAATCACACTCAAAAATATGAATTTTTATCACAAATAGTGCTCGTAAAATACTTACCTATTAAAATTAAAAGGAGTCAAAGGGCGCACCAATTTGCAAAAGCCACAAAGAACGACTTTTCTCTTTTCCATAGCATAGAGCATTTGTCCTATAAATATATGAACTAGATTAACCAACATATTAAACATATTATTAATAATCCTAATTTAAAATTAATAAATTTTTCCCACATCAAACAATAGTAATATAGGTAACAACCATGTTAGACATATATATCTACATAGATATTTTATATTACATTATAATACTCTGAAAAACCAATTTAGACAAATATAATTTAAGATTATCGTTTCATGGGCTACTACCTTTTTCAATATATATGAATACTTTTAAACTAAAATATTATAATCTTAGAAAACAACGTAAATAAATAAAAGTGTAACATTTCACAAAATAAAGCCACTTATATATTAATGCAAAATATGTTGACCTACATAGCATGCTCGCACGCTTCGAATGCCGGCATGAAATTTTTTATACTTCGTAATTTGGTTTGTATATTCATTATTTCTTTGGAATAACATTCAATATTTGATATAAATAATTTGTCATAATTTTGGTAAGTAAACATTTATTTTTGTCTCATTTATCTCTTTTTCATATCAAATCTTATTATTTGTTTTTTCATTTTCTAAATTCCATTTTTTTTAAAAAATATTTTAAAAGTTAATAACTTTTTTATATGTATTCAATTTTTTAGATATTATTTATAAAATTAAATTATCTTTTGTCGATCTTCAATTTTGACATTCATATAATATATAATATAATATATACAAATATAAGATTAATTTCATCTATCGCTATATATCAAATTAATTAAAGCTAGAAAAATGGAACTATCTTTTATTGTATAAACTTAAAAAAAAAAAAAATGTAGATTTTTTTTTCATAAAATAATAATTATTTTTTTCAATAAGAACATTTATTGTACATTTAGTTTTATGATTTTCGTAATAAAAGCATGAATACTTTTATAAATTTATTATTTATTATAATATTTTTTTCTAAACACTTATGTAACACGGGTGTATATATTTACTAGTGTATATCCCGTGCGATGCACAGAAGAGTTCATATTTTAAATATTTTTTAGACTTTATTTAAATATAATTATTTATATTTTTCACATCTCGTCTATTATGAAAATAAAATAAATACAATTAATGAAAAATATATAATATTAAATACTTTTCTTTATACAATATTTTTTATTTAAGGAATATTATTAAACTTTAAGTTTTTGATTTGTTTTTTTAAATCAATAATCCAAAATATATGATTGTTAACGTACAAAAAATAATGGAAATAATCCAGACTTTAAAGTAAAGCTATTTTTTATTATTTTACAAATAAAAATCTTCCAATTTTTTTTTAATTTCAAAAAAAAACTTAGCAAGTTGGATAATGAGTTAAATCAAGTTATACAAATGATTAAATAGTTAAAATATTATATTAATTATATTTTAAGAAATCCGATTATATAAAAATGGGTAAAAAAATATTATAATAATTAGTTTGTTAGGATTGTGATTATATGGAAGTTAAAATAAAATGAAATGTAACCAAAAAATTTGTTCGTGGTTTTTTCCTAAATGTTTGAATTTAAAAATCTAGTAACCAAATTTACATTATATCACGTAAGGAAAAAAATAAATAATAAATATTTATTAAAGAGATAAATCAATAATATTTATCACTTAGATAATAAATAATAAATATTTTTATGTAAAAAAATAAATAATAATATATTTAAAAATATAAGTGAGAATTTCAAATAAAGTAAAAGGAGGGATAACTCATTTTTTAAAAAAAGTTTCTAAATATTTAATATATTGATAAGTATCTCCATAAGAATAATCATACATTTTAATTTTAAAAAAATTGACAAGTTTGTTAGAGAGATAAATCCGATTAGACAAATTATTAATTTGTTAAGATATTATATTAATTGTATCATAAAAAATCGGTTAGATAATGTAGATAAAAAAATATAATACTAATTAGTTTGTTAGAAATGTGATAATGAAAACCAAGATAAAATGAAATTTACCCAAAAAAATTGTTTGGAATCTTTTCCTTTAAATGTTTGAATTTACAAATTTAATACCGAAATTCTATTATATCACATAAGGAAAAAATAAATAATAAACGTTTATTAATATATTAAAATATGTAATTTTGAATTTCATATAAAGTAAAAGGTATGCTTATTCAAATTTATTTTTAAAATAAAATTTATGATAAACATTTATTGATTCTCTTTCAAATATATTAATAAAATAAAAATATAAATCTAAACAAATTTTGAAACAACCAAAAAAATCAGATTGATTGGCATAAAAAAAGGAAGTGAAATCGGATTTGAATGCTAAAATCGGAACACCTTACCAAATTGAATGCTAAAAAATTCGATTTGATTGTTACCTAATTGCATGGGCTGAAAAAATTCAAAAAAAAAATTTACGAATTGAAGAAGCGGGAAAAACACTATATTGAAGCGGGAAAACGAAATGATTATTTTCGGATTGTTCAAATAATTTTTCTTCTCCGTATTATATAGTAATAGATAACAAAATGATCGGAGACTGACTAACGCCTGACGGCAATTAGATAATCTCACACAAAATAAATAAATAAATAAATAAATAAAATAAAAGTTATATTATTTGAAAAAAAAAATATAATTTAATTTATGTGGGAATATTATGTACCTGCCAAGTACCCATCTGTACCTCTCCATGTAACATTTTCATCCTATATATGTACACACACGTACACAAACACAACGCACGCAGTCTCTCTCTCTCACACACATTCCTCGCCACACTTTCTCTCTCTAAAACCCCCTAAATCGTTTTCTCTCTCATCCAACCTCCAATTCATCAAGAAAAAAACTAAAACTAAAAAATAATGAAGAAGCTCTTGAGGAGGATAAAGGTGGCCGATTCGTCTGAATACCGCCTGATCCGGTCGGATTCGGCTGCGGCGGATCGGCCGAGGAGGTCCGGCGGCGTCCCGGGCGGCCACCTGCCGGTCTGCGTCGGGGAGGAGATGGAGCGGTTCGTGGTGAGCGCCGAGCTGCTGAACCACCCGGTCTTCGTGAAGCTGCTGAACCGGTCGGCCCAGGAGTACGGGTACGGGCAGAGGGGCGTGCTCCGGATCTCCTGTCACGTGCTTCTCTTCGAGCGCGTGTTGGAGACTCTCCGGATTGGCGGGGAGGCGCGTGAGCTGCAGGAGCTCCTCAGCGCGCTGCCCGACGAGCTTTGATTGATTATTAGTGAGCCGGCCGCGGCGTAATTAATAGATCAGGTTTTCGTATTTTTTGCTTTTAGGTCCCCCTTTCTGTTATCCGTTGTAAATAGTGAATACTTTGTGGTGCACAAAGTGGAGGAGCGGAAAAAGGTTGGGGTGATGATGAAAGTTTTTGTTTTTCCGTGGGCCTGATGATGATGTCAAAACTATTTGATTAATTGTTGATAAAATTAAAATGACATTTATAAAAAATAAAAAATATTAACATAAATAAAAGTATGTCATCTACGTCATAATATATCTTTTATTAAAAAAATGAAGTTAGCTAGAGCCGTTAAAATAGTCCGCGACCCACCCCACCCCACTCCGCAAAAGGCCGGTTGGGCCTGAATTTTCAAGGCCCACCAGGAAGCTGGCCTAATTGCAAAGATTACATATGAGGTTTAGCCTAATTGCAAAACTCCATTTATCCTCCATAGATGCTAATGCCCTTGATCTTAACATGTACTTTTGAGATATGACTGGGTTTTCTGCAATATATTTTGCTTATATATATTCATGTGGATAATGAAGCTGTACACATGGGTTACGGATGAGCTGGAGCACTCAACCCCAACCCAACTTCCTCCACAAGGGTCCCCACTCTCTGATTTAGAAACCAACCCTTTATTGCCTTATAATACGGATTAAAAAAATATATAAAAAAAATAAACTAAAGAAGCAGGATTGGCCCGCCGAGCCCGCGGTCCGTGGCGGAGGCGGGTTGGGCCAGCTTTTCATAGGCCCGCCAGGATGGCAGGCTAGCATGCCCCGCCCGGCCAAAAGACGGGCTTTAACGGGCTACGAGCCAGCCCGTTTTGACAGTTATAAAGTTAGTTAATAAAAGAATTTGGCTCTTTTGAGCTAGTCGATAGACTAGTGGTTCGACTAGTGGTTTATTAAATTAGTATTTGACAAATAGCGGTTTGTATAATTATTTTAATAATGTTATGGTGTTGAGTTATATTCTATTAAAAAACACATATCGAGCTTTTCGTAAATTAACGTTGTAGGTTAAAAAACTAATCAAATAAGTTTTTTTATCAATCAAAGTAGTTCGCGGTTTTGATTGGTCAAACTTTTAAATAATAAAGTTTGAAAAGATATATCAGAATTGCGTTAAGTATATAAAACAGTAACTTAAATGTAAGTTCACACAAATGCGGAAACAAGGTCATACGAAACATGAACCTTCAGAAGAGCATCTCACTCCCCTTCTGGAACTCTTTCCCATATATAGGTATTTGGCCCTTTACACATAGGATTTACGGTTAAGACTTCCTTTTCAGTACCTAAAACGTAATCACTCACACACACTACTTTTTCGACCACAAATCCTTTGTGGATTTTACAACTCGAATCACTCAAGTCGTTGTAAGTGTTCCTCCTGAACACCTATGCTAACACATCAACTAAATATGTTTTTAAACTCAATAAGATCGAGAATACGCTCTCGTCTCCACACTCAAAAAAATAAAAATAAGCTCTGATGACCTTTTTTAAAAGAACACTTAGAACTCAATACAATAAAATTAATCTCATTAAAAAAGTCGCCTTGCATTTTTTCGTGTGAGTGTCTTTTATGTCTTCCAGTTTTACTATGGATCCATTGAATGACTCGGCTTATGGAGTCATCCATGGTTATTCACAAATAGTGTATCAACACATGTACTACAATAAATACACATTGGACACGTGTCAGTATATCCAATGTAGGTTTCAACTTCATTGGAGTTTGTCGAATTAATGTCAAACATCAAATACTTGCAAATAAAATTCAATCTACTAAACATTGAACTTTGATACGGCCATGTGAAGGGGGTTCGTCTTAGACCGGTCGGAATTCGAGTTTAGTTATAGTTATATTTGGTGGGCGCTAGGTGAAGACCAACTCAAGGTGAGCTAGACGAAGGCGATCACCTAGGCAGCGGGGCATCTCCGCAACTAGGCAACTAGGCAGCTAGGCGCCTCGGCACGTGGGCAGCTAGGTGTTCGCCTATATTTTTAAAGCTCGACCGCAAGTGTACGGCTTCGCTCGTAGTATGTGGCAAGCAAGGTCGTATCCCAAGAGACCAAATAATTAATATATCAAGTACCAGATTATGATAGTGCCAACTTTATTTAGACGACCGAATATGAGATGGATTAACTAAACTAAGGAAATATAATCAAAGGAAAATAAAGCAACAATAAGGAACTAGCTAGAAAAACACGTAAGAAGATGTATGAGAACGATAGATTCTAAGACTTTGGTTTCAATTAATAGTTGGGTTCCTTCAGAAATATCACAACCAATGTTTTCTTTATCTTCCCTATAAGATGATCACAAATTTAGCTTATCGTCCCTCTCGAGATCGATAAAACCGTAGATTAAATCACATATATTAGCGTCTCCACTCAACACATGCAATTCAACTCCAAATAGATTAAAAGATCTAATATCCTCACAACAACCTACTAATCTCTCGATTCAAGCAAGTAAATTGTGTCAAATATTAAAGACCTAATATTGAACTCATCTCTCGAATTATGAACAATATTGTCAAACATGTAAAAACATTGATCAAGTGCTAAACATGAAATAAGAACAAAATATTTGAATAGGGTTCAAAAGAAAAACAATCAATTATAATAAATCATCCAAAATCCCAACATATTAATCTACTACCAAGTCTTAGAATCAAATAATCTAGCCACTCATGTTTGAATTCAAATACATAGACATATTAGAAATCAACATGATCAATAAAAGTTCAAAAGGAAAGAAGAAAGAAAAACTAGGAATCTTGTCGATCTTTCAATCTTCTTGATCCCTTTGTGGTTGATCTTCTTTTGCTTCCCAATTGCTTCCCTTGTGTGTTCTAGGGCCTCTCTAATGTGTATTCACGTTCTCTTCTCAAAATAGGGTAAATATGCCTTTTATAATGTCCAAAACTCTTCTCCTATTCAAAATAGACAAGAAATAAAACGCAGTCTGCGCGCGTGACACGGCCATTCTGCCCGTGTCACCGTCCGTGTCGCAGCCCGTGTCAGGTCCCTGGGCTTCGAATTGTCTCTGTTGAGGTGACACGGCCTCTGACACGGGCATGGTGCCCGTGTCACAATCCTGCTTGCTCGTTTTTGTCCGTTTCACTCGTTTCTTCCATTTTTCTCATCCGTGCATCAATCTATCATCATCCTGGGGGTTCTAGTTACTCACCATGCGCCTCCAATAGCCACGAGCGCTACAAATATGTGAAAATATACAAAACAAGCACGTGTAATACCTCTCCAACAAGATATAGAATTATAGCACAAATATGCAATTTATACACCAATAATGCAATGACTAAGCTCTAGATACTCAATAATTATGGTGTAAAATCACACAAGAACACTAGGCACCTCGGCACCTAGGCGGAGGCACCTCGGCACCTGGGCAGCTAGGCACCTCGGCACCTAGACAGCCAGACACCTCGGCACTTAGGCAGCTAGGCACCTCGGCACCTAGACAGCCAGACACCTCGGCACTTAGGCAGCTAGGCACCTCAGCACCTAGGCAGCTAGGCCAAAGGGTTCGGCCGAGGTAACCAGAGCCCAACGATGGCTTCGTGGCCAAGTCACAAGGAAGTTTGTATTGATAAGGACTCTGAAGTTCTTGATATCTTCGACCTAATTTAGAGATAAACACGAGGAAGACTTCCAGAACAACTAGGACTCTTCATGGCCTCACCTATAAAAAGGAACAGGTTCATTCATATTACACAACACACATACACATATTATCTCATTACTCTGCTGTTTTCTCTCCGAAACACCACCACTGACTTGAGCGTCGGAGTGTCCACGCCGGGACCATCCCCGGCGTGTTTTGCAGGTACCGGCGATCGAGAAGGTTTAATTCGGTTCAAGAGGAGCGGTCGAGCGGTTCGGGTATTTGTGGTATAACAAACTTGTTTAAATGTTTCTATAAAAGGCTTTATAAATTTAAACAGTAAAAGTCATGAAATTCATTTGAAAACATTGACAAGATTTGCTGGCAGGCTGGTTTGTAATACTAATAATTATTAACCAAGATATATATATGACACTCGAGGTAGTAATTTTTTTTTTTTCTTTGAAACAGTAAATCCCATGATATGAATATAATATGGAAAGGTTGATCGATCTTACAAGAGTGGCACTCTTAAATTCAAAGACTAAAAGGCTCCCAGTATTCTGAATTGGGTCATTTGATGAAACATAAATAAAATACAGAAGCTACAAGAAATTACTAAACTTCAACCTTCAAACCGATTCATGATTCCATATCCAAATTTGATAGTGGAAAGAATCGAGACTTGATTCCAACGACTGTGGACAATAGCGGCGAGCTGCCCGTTAAACTCAGCAAGAAGCACGTTATTGGGCCTAAGCTCTATACAAGTGGCCGTCGAGTACATACAAATAATTATTGGCCCGATCTTATAATTTTACTTTCCGTAGGCAAATTTATGAAATTGGGCTCTATTATGGGGTACAAGATGGGCCACTTCATTTGGTTTGTAAAGGTTTTAGCCCAACCCAACCCGAAAATGACTTAAATGTCGTATCAAAAGAGCTTCAACCTACTCTTTCAACTTCAAATGATGTGCAAGTAGAGGCAATGGTGGATCTAGCAAAAATTTATGATGGGGGCGTATAATTTATAATATTATAAATAAAAACTAAACTACTAAACTTGTTATAATGTTATTAAAAAATGCTAAAATCATATTCTACTACTATCCCGTGTGA